CAGATTGTTTCCAAAAAACAAAAAAAACTGCTATGGTCAAGGCATGGGGAAATAGGCTGTTGGGTGCTATCTTCACGTAGGACAATATCTACGAAATTATTAATGTGTGTTCCCTTCCTCCCTTTTAAAAAATTGAGGTGAAATTCACGTAACATAAAATTAACATTTTTTAAAGTGAACAATTCAGTACGTTCACTATGTTGTGCAGCCACCACCTCTATCTAACTTCAAAACGTTTTTATCACTCCAAAATAAAACTCCATATTCATTAAGCAGTTATTTCCCATTCCCCACTTCCTCAGCCCTGGCAACCACCAGTCTGCTTCCTATGTATTTAACTATTCTGGATATTTTATATGAATGAAAGCATAAAACATGTGACCTTTTGTATCTGGCTTCTTAGTGTGATGGTTTTGGGGTTCATCCATCTGGTAGCCTATATCAGCACTTCACTCCTTTTTAGGGCTGAATAGTATTCCACTGTGCATATATGCTACAATTCGTTCATCCATTCATCCAGGACATTTAGGTTGTTTCCACCTTTTGGCTGTCATGAATAGTGTCGCTATGAACCCAGCAATTCCATTACTAGGAACTGATCCTAACAACATGCCCACACCCAAAACACTGTAAAGCAAAAATCTGAAAACAATCTAAATGTCCTTCAGTGGGGGCTAGCTACATAAAGTCCACACATTTGTAGAGACTGCTCTGCATCCCTCACAAAGAACAAGGCAGCTCTTTGAGGACTAATACAAAAAGATAGAGGTATCTTACATGAAAACTTCAGGTGCAGGATACAGTGTATCCTATCATTTGTGTAAAGAAAAGGAGAGGAAGAGGAAAGATTTAACATATATATACAGCCGTTAGCTACTCATTTATTTAAAGCAAAAGGTAATAGACATATAGCATTGTATTAGTCCAAGGTGTACAACACAATAATTTGATATATGTATATATTGTGAAATGATACTAAGTTTAGTTAACATCCATCAGCACAGTTACAATTTTTTTTTCCTTGTGATGAGAGCTTTTAAGATCTACTCTTTTAGCAACTTTCAAATATACAATATTGTTAACTATAGTCACCATGCTGTACACTATATCCCCAGGACTTACTTATAACTAGAAGTTTGTACCTTTTGACCCCTTTCACCCGTTTTGCCTATCCCCCACCACCTCCCATCCCCCACTTCTGGCAACCACCAATCTGTTCTCTGTATCTATGAGTTTGGGTTTTGTTTTTCATATTCCACATAAAAATGAGATCATGCAGTTTTTGTCTTCCTCTGCCTGATTTATTTCACTTGGCATAGTACCTTCAAGGTACATCCACATTGTTGCAAATGGCAGAATTTCCTTCTTTTGTACAGCTGAATTCTCTCTCTCTCTATATATATATATATAAAACTTTATCCGTTCATTCATTGAGGGACACAGGTTGTTTCCATGTCTTGGCTATTGTAAATAATGCTGCAATGAATATGCTAGTGCAGATATATTTTTGAGGTAGTGATTTCATTTTCTTCAGATAAATACCCAGAAATGGAATTGCTGGATCATACAGTAGTTCTATTTTTAATTTTTTAAGGAACCTCCATACTGTTTTCCATAGCAGCTGCACCAATTTACATTCCCAGCAACAATACACAAGGGTTCCATTTTTTTCCCCATCCTCACCAGCACTTGTTATTTCTTGTCTTTCATGTAATTTTTTTTTTTGACTTGAAATTGCACAGAATGCCCCTTACATCTCTGGAAGGACCCACAAGAAACTAGTAATATTGGTTGTCTCCAGAGAGGGGAACTGGGTGGCCAGGGGATGGGGCTGTGGGAGAGACTTATTTCTAAATACATTTTTACACCTTTTGAATTTTGAGTAATGTGAAAGTATTAAATTTTAAAAATTAAATCTAAATAGACCTTGTTAAGAACAGATATGGAACTCAACAAAAGCTATTTTTATTGTAAATGAGAAAAAAGTAGCATAAAATCCTTTCCTTTTTCTAAGCTTGCTCCTTCCCTATCCTCCATTCCTCGTGTGCTGGCTGTTACCTGAGCAGAGGTCTCCAGCCAGGAGAGGGCAGGCTTGGGTTCACTGGAGTAGTTGGGAGAAGGTTGTCATGCAAGGGTGAGAAGTTGCATAGTTTCCCAGGAGGGCTCAACGCAGGAATAAAGGCAGACCCACCCCAAGGAAACTTCCTTGCAATTTCAGACGTTGGAGACAGAAGAGCCTAGATGCTTCTGGGGAGAAAAAAAGACAAACACAAGCCAATCCAAAGGTCTGGGAATGAGAGAGGCACTGGATCTCAGCAGCAGCAACAGCCAAAATAAAATGAACAGAGCAGTCAGAAAGAATTCAGAGCCAAAATACCAATCAAAAGCAAAGGCAGAATACAAACCCTTTTAGACTTGCAGGGACCCAGAAAATTACCTTCCAGTCATCCTTTGTTGGAAAGTTTTTAGAGGATGTGCTTCAGCAAAGTGAGAGAGCAAACCAAAAGAGTCAGGATTGGGATCCAGGCAAAAGCAGAGACTCCCAGGAGCCTAGGGAGCCAGAGGAGCCATGGTGGCACTGAAGGAAAATTAAGGCCACCTTGGAACAGGAAGGATGGGATTGCCACAGGGACCCACATGGGTCTGAAAACTTAAAATGACTAGACTGGACCACCTGTGACATCTGGCTACCAGGAGCTTCTCTGAATACACCTAGAGAACAGGACCTTCATCCCACCCAGGGGAGTCCAAGACAGTGGGTTGAGAGAATAGACTGTTTGCATTGGTTCATCTAATTTTAGACATTAAAAGCCTCTGAGCCGTTGGCTTGTGGGATGAGGAGGTTACCCCACTGACAGAATTGCAACTGCCCACGCCCTCATCCCTGGTCCATTTCTGTCCTAATGACAGGTGGTAGCTTAGGTGTCCTTTGGAAAGCTTTCTCTGACTTTGCCCCCTCCCCCTTACCAGCCAGATCCAGTGCCATCCACCAGAACGTCTACCATTACTGCAAGGAAGAGCATTTTGATCGGTGCTGTGAGGCCAGCGTGTGAGGCCTGGCATACATAATGGGTCAGTAAATTAGCTCCCAGGCTACCCTAGAACTGAGTAATTTGAGGGAGGGAAGTTGGGCACAGCTTCCTGCCCCTAAAACCTTTCTCCTAAGGGTGGGGGGGGTGGGGAGAATGACTCCCAGTGGGGCAGGCCTGGCCTCTAGGAGGAAGTAAGGCCTAGTGAGCATATGCTGGGCTTGGGTGTGGAGGCTAAGGTAGGGACTTTTCCCGTAGCCCTCCGGGGGGGGGGGGCCTGGGCTGTGGGGCCTCAAGGGCTTTGAGCTGGTAAGCCTGCCGTCTTGGAGGAGGAAAGGGGAAGAGAAATGCCCCACAGGGCTTCTGAGTCAGCTGCACTGTCATAATGGAAACAGCACAACCCTGGGTGTCAGGACACTTCCCCTCTGCACCTCAGAGTCCTCATTATGAGATAGAAGTAATTGTTTTGCACATGGAGTTGGGCTTAAGTGATAGAGGGTGACAAAGCACTCTGTTAACATGCAGATGTGAAGAGGGACACTACCGCTAACTCTGTGGTGGCAGCTAGCCTGGGGTTAAGAGGCTGCAACATCTTGCTTCCAGCCCAGAGGAAAGTCATTCACTTCTCTTAGTTGCAAATCTGAACTCTGACCAGTTGGAGCCTTTTTGGGGACCATGGATTCCTCTTGCCCATCAGTCACTCACACTCTAGTGAGGAGCCTGCTGTCTGTCCAGAGAGGACATTTGGATTCGAGGAGCAGCAGTTTATAAGGCTTGGCGCTGAGGATCAAGGATGAGGAAGGCCTGGGTAACCATCAAGCCCCTTCTGGGAGTGGAGGGTGCCAGGCCAAGTGGGTGAGGCACGGAGGTCACCTGAGGGAACACTGTGCTCTGCGACTCTTACTCAATGTGTTAGTTTTTCACCTCCAAGGACATCTTGTTCCCATCTTCCCCTTGCGTAAGGTCCGCGTCCAGCAGAAGGAGGCCTGAGGCTCTGCCACGGACACTGATCCAGCCTGGAGGCTCAGGCCTGTGCGGATCAACCCTTCCAGCCTCACTGGGTGGGGAGGAGAGGCTTGTCCCTCTCAAAGGCTCACGTGTGGGTGAGCGTCAGCCCGCTCAGCTTCCTGTGTGACCCGGGACATTGACTTCGCCTCTCTAGACCTCAATGTTCTTGCCTGTAGAATGGGGGTGATAAACAGTGTTTGTTGGCTTGTTAGGAGACTTGATGAACCGCATGACACCCAGGCCGCGCACGACTCTGGGGGCGGCGGGAGATTGGGGCTTGGGGGCGTCGCCCTGCCGGCCCGCCCGCCCGGCCGCTGCTTCCCCTCCGGCCGGCCCGGCGGCCGTCCGCCCG